ACTGGCCTTGTAAAATGAGTTTGGAAGTGTTCTCTCTTCTATTTTTTGGAAGAGTTTGAGAAGGATTGCTATTAATTTTTCTTTAAATGAAGAAAGAAAGACCACTGAAGCCATATGGTCCTGAACTTCTGTTTCTTGGGAAGTTTTTGATTACTGATTCAATCTCTTTACTAGTACTTGGGAAGTTTTTGATTACTGATTCAATCTCTTTACTAGTATTTGGTCTGTTCAGATTTCCTATTTATTTTATGATTTAGTGTGGGTAGGTTGTATGTTTCTAGGAATTTATCCATTTCTTCAAATTGTCCAGTTTGGTGGTGTATAATTGTTCATAGTCTCTTATGATCTGCTGTAAATAGGTGTAATACCTCCTTTCATTTCTGATTTTATTTATGGCTCTTTTCTTCACTGAATCTAGCTGAAGATTACTATTTTTTCAGAAAACCAGCTTTTAGTCCTTCTACTAAATTTGGGCTTTATTTTTTCTTTTTCTAGGTCCTTGAGGTGTAAATTCAGGTTGTTTATTTGAGATCTTTGTTGTTTTATCGTGTAGGCATTTATCACTCTGAACTTCCCTCTTACAACTGACGTTGTTGCATCCCGCAAGTTATGGTATGTTTTATTTCTTGATTTTCTCTTTTGACCATTTGTTGTTCAGGAGCATGTTTAATCTCCACATATTTTTGAATCTTCCAGTTTTATTCTATAATTGATTTCTACTTTTATACCATTGTGGTCAGAAAAGCTGCTTGATAAGATCTCAGCATTCTAATTTATTAAGACTTGTTTTGGAACCGAACATATTATCTATCCTGGAGAATGTTTCCTGTGCGTATGAGAAGAATCTGTGTTCTGTTGCTTTTAGATTGAATGTTCTGTAAATGTTAAGTCTATCTGGTCTAACATGTAGTTGAAGTCCGGTGTTTCCTTATTTTTCTGTCTGTATGATTTATTATTGATGGGGGATACTGAAGTCCCCTACTATTATTGTATTGCTGTCTGTTTCTCCCTTTAGATCTGTTAATATTTGCTTTATGTATCTAGATGCTCCTATGTTGAGTGCATAAGTATTTACAAATGCCATATCCTCTTGATGAATTGATCCCTTTATCATTATATTAATGACCTTTGTTTCTTATTATAGTTTGTCTTACAGTATAAGTACAGCTACCCCAGGTTGCTTTTGGTTTCCATCTGCATGGAATATCGTTTCCATTCCTTTACTCTCAGTCTCTGTGTGTCCTTAAAGCTGAAGTGAGTCTCTTTTAGGCAGCATGTAGATGGGTCATATTTTATATCCATTCAGCCACTCTGTCTTTATTTATTTACTTATTTATTTATTTTTGGCTGCATTGGGTCTTCGTTGCTGCACGCGGGCTTTTCCTAGCTGCAGCGAGCAGGGGCTACTCTTCCTTGTGGTGCATGGGCTTCTCATTGTGGTGGCTTCTCTTGTTGTGGAGCACGGGCTCTAGGCGTGCGGGCTTCAGTAGTTGTGGCACGCAGGCTTCAGTAGTTGCGGCACATGGTCTTAGTTGCTCCGCGGCATGTGGGATCTTCCTGGACCAGGGCTCGAACCCATGTCCCCTGCATTGGCAGGCAGATTCTTAATCACTGTACCACCAGGGAAGTCCTGCCACTCTGTCTTTTGATTGGAGATAGTCCATTTACATTTAATGTAATTACTTATAGGTATGTACTTATTACCATTTTGTTAATTTCTTTCTGGTTGTTATGTAGTTCCTCTGTTCCTTTCTCTTCTCTTGCTCTTTGTTGTTTGTTCGATGATTTTCTGTAGTGGTAGAGTCCTTTCTCTTTATATTTTGTTTATCTACTATAGGTTTTTGCTTTGGTAATACCATGAGGTTTATGTAAAACAACTTGTAACAGTCCATTTTAATAACTTATTTTCCAATGCTTTTGATGTCACAAATACATCTTTTTATCTTGTGTATCCACTAACAAATTATATAGTTATTTTTCTACTTTTATCTTTTAACCTTCATACTGGCTTTACAAGTGATTAACCCACTGCCTTTATGACATTAGATTATTCTGAATTTTACTATATATTTACCTTTACCAGTGAGATGCCTACTTTGTAACGTTTTCTTGTTACTAATTAGCACCTTCTCTATTCAGCTTGAATAACTCCCTTTAACATTTCTTGTAAGGCTGGTCTAGTGGTGATGAAATTCTTTTGCTTTTCGTTGTCTAGAAAATTCTTTCTCTCTCCTTCAGTTCTGAAGGACAGTTTTCCAGGGTAGAGTATTCTTAGTTGGCAGTTTTTTTTTCTTTCAGCTCTTTATATCTGTATATCACGCCACTCCCTCTGACCTGCAAAGTTTCTGCTGAAAAACCTGCTGATAGTCTTGTAGGTTCCCCTCGTACATAGGTTCTTTTTCTCTTGTTGCTTTTAAGATTCGCTCCTTGTCTTTAACTGTTGATACTTGAATTACAGTGTATCTTGGTGTGGGTCTCTTTGGGTTCATCTTATTTAATACTCTCTGGGTTTCCTGGATCTGGATCTAGGTTAGGGAAGGTTTCAGCCATTATGTCTTCAATTAAGTTTTCTGCCCCTTTCTCTCTTCCTCTTTAGGGACCCCTTTTGCTTGATGTTGTCTCGTTAGGCTGTCTTCACTCTTCTTCATTCTCTTTTCTTTTTGCTGTTCTGATTGGATGAGTTCCACTGCCCTGTCTTTGAGTTCAGTGATCCTTTTTTTCTGTTTCATCTGGTCTGCTGTTGAACACCTCTACTGTATTTTTCAGTTATTGTATTCTTCAGCTCTGTCACTTCTATTTGGTACTTTCTTATATTTTTGATCTCTGTTGAAATTCTCATTTTATGCATGCATTTTTCTCCTAAGCTCTGTGAGCATCTTTATCACCATTCTTTTGAGCTCTTTATCAGGTAAATTACTCATCTGCATTTCATTAAGGTCTTTTTCTGAGGTTTTATCTTATTCTTTCCTTTGGAAATATTCCTCTGTTTCTTCATTTTTCCTTGACAATCTATGGCTTATATGCGTTAGATGAAACAACTACCTCTCCCAGTCTTGAAGGAGTGGCTTTGTGTAGGAGATGAACCTTATCGTTCAACTCTGCCCTAGCTCTTGGATATCTCTCAAACCTTTGTGATTGATTGTCCAAGAAGCCTACTTTATTCTTAGTGGCTTGCAGTAGTTGAGGGTGTGCCAAGACCTGTCAGGGGAGGATTTCAGTCAGCACCTAGATTCAGGCTGATTGGAAGCCAAGCCCTCATGTAGAAGCTTTTACAGTTTGCAAATATCTCTTTTAGGAGAAGACTGGGAGATGGGTATTTCTGTCTGCTCCCTCTGCCTTGAACCCTGTGGTAATAGCCAGTTAAGAACTATTTCTTTGTTTGCTACCATCCTGATGAACCCATGAACACAAGCCCCGCTGGCCACCAGAGCCACGGTATCAAGGGATGTGTTCTCTGGGTGACAGACACAAAAGCTAGGGTGTCAGATGTGCACATAAGCCCCTTTCTTGGAGGCACCACAACCTAAGATGGAGCAGAGGGAAAGCATGACAATGGCTCCCGAAGGCCATAGTCTTTTTTTTTTAACATCTTTATTGGAGTATAATTGCTTTACAATGGTGTTAGTTTCTGCTTTATAACAAAGTGAATCAGCTATACATATACATATGTTACCATATCTCTTCCCTCTTGCGTCTCCCACCCTCCCTATCCCACCCCTCCAGGCAGTCACAAAGCACCGAGCTGATCTCCCTGTGCTATGTGGCTGCTTCCCACTTGCTATCTACCTTATGTTTGGTAGTGTATATATGTCCGTGTCACTCTCTCGCTTTGTCACAGCTTACCCTTCCCCCTCCCCATATCCTCAAGTCCGTTCTCTAGTAGGTCTGTGTCTTTATTTCTGTCTTACCCCTAGGTTCTTCATGACTTTTTCTTAAATTCCATATATGTGTTAGCATATGGTATTTGTCTTTCTCTTTCTGACTTACTTCACTCTGTATGACAGACTCTAGGTCTATCCACCTCATTACAAATAGCTCAGTTTCGTTTCTTTTTATGGTTGAGTAATATTCCATTGTATATATGTGCCACATCATCTTTATCCATTCATCCGATGATGGGCACTTAGGTTGTTTCCATCTCCGGGCTATTGTAAATAGAGCTGCAATGAACATTTTGGTACATGACTTCCAGCAATCCCACTACTGGGCATATACCCTGAGAAAACCATAATTCAAAAAGAGGCCATAGCCTCTGTCGAGTATTTCAGTTGGCCTGTGGTTGTGTGTTCAGTGAGAAGCCTGCCCCTCAGGCCAAAGCTTTCAGATAAGCGAATCGGGTGCTTTTCAGTCGGCTGCCTCTGCACTGGGCCTTGGTGCTGGGTAGCCAGGTGAGTCTGTGTGAGCCCTTTAAGAACTGTTCTCAGATCACTCATAGCCTGTGGGTCTCAGGGAGGCAAGCCCTGGTGGCTTTCAAACCTGGAAGTTTTGGGGGCTTGTCTCTCAGGTGCAGGTCTTAAAAGTTGGGGTGCCAGATGTGGGGTTCAACCCCTTTGCTCCTCAGGGATAAGCTCAGTCGTCAGTTCCCTCTTGATTGCAGGTCGCTGCACCGGGTTTATGATGAGATTGTCTCAGCCTCTCCTACCTGCTTCAGTGTGCGTTTTTTTTCTCGGTTGCCTGGTATGTAGCTATAGATTTGGTGTGTCCGTGGTGGGAGGTGAGCTCAGAATCCTCTTATGTCGCCATCTTGAACTGGAACCGTATTTCTTGTCTTTTTGATGACAGGTGTGAGTGACACCTCATTGTGGGTTTTGTTTGTTTTTTCAGGCAAGGCTTTATTGGGGCCCCTGCTGAGGCAGCAGGCGGGAGTGAGAACAAACAACAGGTTCCCTTGCTTGCCCACGCCCTGAGAGGGGGCGAGCTTGTTCCTTATATGGGGTGAGGGCTGGGCCGAAGGGGTGGCTTAGGTGTCTTGCCCACCCCTTAGGTGGTGTTGTGTGCCGGGGGCATGCGCAGTGCCCTGCTTTTGCTCCAGGCTCCTCAAAATGGCAGTTGGGTGTTTTTGGTCTCTTTGTATCTTTTGTCTAGAATTTGCCCCAACTGAGCATGCACGCAGTAATTTTTAGTCCCATACAGTTTCTTTTAATTTGTTGCTTGAGGAGAGGTATGTCCAGGTGCAAGCATTGCAGCACTGCAGTATAGGGTCCCAGGTCCCAGCCTGTCTCATTCCCCCCTAAGAGACTCTACACATTTATTAAGGGGTAAGAGGCTGAAGGTCTCTTCTTCTGAAAGACCCTAGCCTCCCCTAGAGGAGAAGGACCTGACTGTTCCAAGGACCTGTAGGGACCTGGGCCACTTTCCGCTGGAATGGGCTGAATTTCTTGAGCCATCATGAGCCTTACTTCAAACTGTTGGAGCCTAAAAGACACAAAGTTAACCAAAAGGTTAAACAAAACAAAGGCTAAAAAGGAGAAGAACGACAATTGCCATTAAAGGGCCTAGAAAGGGAAGGAACCAGGTTAACTTTGGGCTTCCTTGACTGTTGACCACCAGACAAGGAAGGCGATATCACCCCTGCCAAAATTATGAAGCCACTCTGCCTGAGCTTATATTTCCTTAATATTAACTTTTACCTGTCCTGTTGCATTGATCCAAGTGCAGCGGGAAGTATTAGTTACCGCACAAAGTCTGCCTTGCTCTGCCAGAAGGTACTCAAGGGCCAGACGATTGTCAAGAACCACATCAGCCAAGGAAACAAGAGAGGTCCCAAGTCCCATTAAGGCTTCAAATAGGAGCCAACTCACTACATCATTTTACTTACCCGTTGATGGTACCTGTCTTTGGAATAGGCATCTCAGATCTTCCGCTAGCTCACAGGTGCATTGTTCTTCTGTTGTGACCCGTGGGGTTTCTGGAAGTAAAAGCTTTAGTCTGGACAGATGTACCCAACAGATACCCCTTGCAGTTTGACAGCAGTGGGGGTGGTTTAAATTACTTTAGAGTAATAGTTGGCAGTAGTTGGTCTTTGGGGGAGCTCTCTTTCCAGATGTTGAGAAGAACTTGGGTCCCCGGGGTTTATTTGTGAAGGAACTGCTCCTTCCTCTGTATTTTTAGTGGGAGCTGGCAGTGCCTTGTAGGCATAATCCTGGATTGCTTTCTGAACTTGTCCTAGAATAATATATCTCAGGGTCTGGTTCACTTCCTCATCCAGTAGAATGTCAGTAGTAAGAAAAGGCCTCCCGTAGGTCATTTCAAGGGGACTAAGTTTCAGACCACTCCTGAGGGCTACAGGGACCCTGAGGAGTGCAATAAGAGGCAGGTTGGTCCAGGGTGCACGAGTCTCTGGGCAGAGCTTTGCTAAGGTTTTCTTTAAAGGATGGTTCATTTTCTCTACCTTCCCTGAAGACTGGGGGTGCCAAGAGGTGTGTAGCTTGTAGTCTAGCCCTAGGGCTGTTGTGAGCTGCTGTGTGATTTTGGCTATAAAAAGAGGGCCCGTTATCGCTCTGCAGGGACTTTGGAAGTCCAAACCGAGGAATTCTTTCTTTTAAAAGGGACTTACAGACTTGCGGGGCGTTCTCAGGTCGGGTGGGGAAGGCTTTAACCCATCCTGTGAAAGTATCAACAAACACCATAAGATATTTATATCCTGATCGTGGGGGCATTTGGGTGAAATCTAACTGCCAGGCTTCCCGCGGGTATGTCCCTCGGCATTGAATTGGCCTGAGTGACGAAGGGGGGATTGGATGGGCCTGTGGGTTATTACAGGCGTGGCAAGCGTTCCTTGTTTTATTGTTCTTTCAAGCCCCTTTCCTGAAAAAGCCTTTTGCCTCAAGTCCCATAGTGCATCCCTCCCGTAGTGGGTGGCGTCCTGTAAGCTCTTGGTGAGTCTCCATTGTTGGGCTTCAGGGATTAGAAACATCCTCCTTTTGATGCCAGCCTGTGCTTCCCTTCTCAGAGCTCCATTTCTCAGCATTTTCTTATTCCTGGGAGGGAGAACTGGTGAAGGCTAGGGAGTTTCAGGGGGGGCCAATCACTAGAGCCTTAACTTGTTCAGGCTCCTGCAACTGAGCTGCCTGTTTTGCAATTTGATCAGCTTTGCTGTTCCCTTGGCTCGCAAAAGATCACAAAAGATCCATCCCTCTGATGGCCCCTGCAGTGCATTACTGCTACCTGGGTAGGAAGCTACACTCCTTCTAACAGACCAGAATCAAATCTTTATGTTTTATGGGGGAACACTTCTAGTGGTTAACATTCCTCTTTCTTTCCATCTGGCAACATGAGCATGTAGCACGTGGAACCCATATTTAGAGTCAGTGAAAATATTTAATTTCTTATCCTTCCCTAATTGCAAAGCTCTCATTAATGCTCGTAAGTCTTGCACAAACCGACACTCCCCGTTAGGCTTCTGTACGGGGAGGTTCGGGGTGCTGCAAGGGGATTGGCAGGGCCTAATGAGTCCGTGTTTCAGGAATCTGCTGAGCAGCGGTTGGATTCCCCTCAGGGCCTCAGGCTTTAAAAGATATTGTGTCTTCCAGGGGTATTTTTCCCCAGGCCTTAACTTTATTTTTATTGGGGGAACACGTTTTGCCCTTCCTGGCACCGAGGTATCCCAAACTGCAGGATCTACCTGTTCTGTAATTTCTTGGGGGATGTCTTGGGGCATATTTTGATGCCCAACAGGTGGGTCATCTGGGATTTTAACAGATGCATTCTCCGTTCGGATTACCTTCTTGGATTCACCCTGACCTAAGAATATACTAGCTCCTAACTTATTTAGCATATCTCTCCCGAGGAAAGGGACAGGGCATTCTGTCATGTACAAAAAGGAGTGAATAATAATAATGGACCCGATTCCACAGGCAAGAGGGGATGGTAAATCGCCTTTCCTTTGGCTGTCCATCGACTCCCATCACAGCACAGTCATGGCTGGAGAGGGGGCCAGCTGGCCAAGTCAGAGCAGGCGGCTCCAGCGTCTACAAGAAATTCAGTTCTCCTACCTGCCACATCGAGGGTGACCCGAGGCTCTGCTGCAGTCACGAGGATGGATCTGGAGCCGGGGAGGCGCTCGGGCATCCCACAGGAGGGTGCCCAGGACATTCCGCCTCCCAGTGCCCCCTTTCTGACAAAAGGCACACTGGTTTGGGTCCAAGGGGCTTCTTGGTGGTCTGTCCAGCCTTCTCGGCCCTCCAGGGTCCCCTGGAGGTGGTGGGTGGATCAGAGCGGCCAGAGGCTGCGTTTTCTTTATTAGCCTCTTATCCTCATTGGCCTCTTCTGTTAAGTCTCGGTTGTTACAGACCTTGAAGGCCTCCTCAGGGTTGACAGCAGGGCTTGGGGCCCAGCCGCAAGCTTCTGGAACTGTCTCCAGATATCAGGAATAGCCTTGGTGATAAAATGCATACTCCCTTCTGCGGACTCAGGGTCTGTATAGGTGTCCTTCCTGAATGCCTCTGTCACCCGGCTCAGGAAGCCTGCTGGGCTCTCACCTTTTTCCTGTGTAACCTCTCAGACCTTATTGTAATTTACTGGCTTCACCATACACCTTTTCATTCTTTCTGACAGACATGTAATCTAATGTCTCATCCCTAATGTCTCATCCTAGCTTGGCCTACACAATCTTCACAGTCCCAGCATGGGTCATGTTCTGGGATTGCGTCCCACCTACCTGATAAACTTGGCCATGTGGACTGGTGGCCAGTAGGCCATCTGCGTGTTCCCTGGGCTTTCTCAGTATGTGCTCCTTTTCATCTGGGGTGCAACAGTGGGCCAGAACAATCCATGCTGTCCTGCCAGGTGAGAGAGAATGTCAATCCCAGCCTGATAAATTCATCCCTAAACTTGTCAGGGTTCTCTGAGAACCTGCCTTATGGGTTTCCTAAGTCTCCCATTGAGAAGGGGCTGTGCACTCTAATAATCCCTCTGTTGCCATCGCTACTTCCCAAAGGGGGGAAAGGTGGGGGCTGACTTTGAACCTGATCCCGGGAAAACTTTTTTTATGAGAGAGAGAAACCAAGCCCAGTCTTGCATCAACCTACTCTTAATAAAATCCATTTACCTAATTAAATTTAATCCAACCTTAGAAAATCCTGACCAAAGTTCCTAATGTTCCTCTTCCGCAAACCTGCAACTTTCTGTAGCCATACTTTGTGTAGCCATACTTTGTCCCTTATTCTTTCCCCATTCAGAAACAGCCAGCTCTAGGACAAAGTCATCCTTTTTCCTTTCAACAAAATATATTCCCATTCCTCGTACCTTCTTTTCTTAACGCATCCTACTTCCCTTAAGCCACCATGAACTGTCTTTCACATTAGCATTCCACAAAGTGGTAGCGAACATCTCAAGGTGGCACCAAACAGCTTAATTTCTCTCTCACAAGAAGACAAAAGTAGGTAAATTTAGACCTGTTTAGCAATTAATGTTCCAATAGTTTATCTTATTTGAAATGGCCTACCTATACAATTAATTCCTATCTTAATTACTTTAGCTTCAAATTCACCAAAAATGGGAGAGACTGTTTTAGATGGATGTTTCCAAAACATAATTATTCCGATGTAGTTTAGCAAAAAGTTCTTATCCCAGTTACATTTACTTAAAAATTTAATCATATCAGGTTATTGTCCCTGTTGACAGATTTTTATAACAGGAACAATGTACACTTATTGACTTCCAGTAACCCTAGATACAATGAAAGTATTGTACTTTATGTTGATGACTCTAAAGATGGGTCTGTATTAATTAAACCCATAGCTTAAGCTAGACAAGTTAATTTCTGTAGAAGCAGAGATCTCATAGTTTTCCCGCTTGAATTTAAAATGGCCTTTTTTTCCCCCCTCAGTCTGGGGGACTACAGATGAATCAGGTGGTTCCTGAGAGCCCAGGCAGAAGACTTACATTGCAAAGGCAGAGGAGAGAGATGCAAGCCCCCTGAGCTCAGGCAGAATAGCGACATTGCAAGTGCAGAGGAGAGGGAGATGCAAGCTCCTGTCTTTTCTTTTTGTTCTTTGAAATCCCACTAAGTAACCCAAGGCTGGAGTCTCAGGCAATGCGGGCTGTGTTTGTATGTGCTCACAATGTCGGCAGTGACTTCCAGGAACAGCTGGACAGACAAAAACTACATCACAAAGATACCAATCGCAAAACTTAAAGACACAAACAAGAAGTTTTCAGGATTAAGGGGATGGGAGGGTAGGGGTAAGGACCAAGGGAGAGGTAAAGGGAGGAGGGACAGAAAAGACTGAAAATGAGAAAGAGACAGATTGCCTTTTCAGCCCGCCCCCTGCGGCTGTCTATTCAGGTACCAATCTGCCTGCTTCCAGAAAGGGCCAGTGAAGGAGGGAGCACCCTGTCCACTGCCCATCCGGGGTGATCAAGCCCGGAAACCAGCCAGTTGTATGTCGTCTGTGGGTCCCCGACCCACCGGTGGGACTCTCACCCACGCATGCACCAGTATATAGAAATCTGCCGCTTCAGCTCGTTCCCAATGGGACTTCTCTTGGCGGCAGGAAAATAAAGGTGAGAATATGGGGACGATCAGACTTACAGCCCACTACACGATATGAGGTTTGAACGTCTATCGCTCTCATAAATCTCCAGTCAGGGAGAGCCCGCTGGACCAAGGTCTGCAAGGTGTGATGGGAGCCTCTCCCACCTCTGCTTGTCACCCGTCACGGTGAGCCATTGCCAGCCAGAGGGAGCTGTAGCTTGCCTGACATCCACTCTCTTGGAAGGACAGAAGGAGGAGAGGACAGAGAGAGAAGTAGAGAGATTTCAGGAGAGGGAAAGGGAAAATGGTGAGGGACAAAGGGGAGGGGAGAAGCGTTGCCTGAATGAGGGTACTGAGGCCCCTCGGGGGCCAGAAAGGCAGACTTACCAAACGAGGTGATGCTGAAACAAGAGGTTCAGGTGGCCGCTTGTCACCCACGGGGAAGCTGCGTTCGGTGGTCCCGGAGGTGCCCAGATCCTCTCCCCTAGAAGGGACAAGCCCCACGTTGGGCACCACAAAATATGTTACCAACTAGGGTTAATTGATCAGAGGCCAAGTTCAGTCAGGGCTTTATTGGGACCCCTGCTGCAGCAGAGCAGGGGTGGGGGGCAGTGAGAACAAACAACAGGTTCCTTTGCTTGCCTGCTCCTCACTGTGGTTTTGATTTGTATTTTCCTGATGACTGGTGATGTCTAGCACCTTCTCATATACTCGTTGGCCATTTGTATATCTCCTTTGAGAAATATCTGTTGAGGTTCTTTGCCTGAGAGGGGCTGGAGGAAGCTCACGGACCACTGAAGGGTCCACAGCCAGGACTGATGTTCGTCTTTTTTTCTTATGCTTTAAAATGAATAATCATTTAATGTATTAACATTTTTACTTATAAACATACAATTTGCATATACAGGGAAAAATATGTTCTGTGGACACAACAGAATACTAGAGACAGGCAAGCAATCAGAAAGACAGGCATGCGTAGATGCAATGCGTGGGCAAGACTCCTCCTGGGTCCCTTGGTGGATCCCACAGTTCTCTTAAAGTCACTTTTGTTCATGATGCCATTTTTGTTGGGGGCGGGAAGAGGGATGTCTCATATGGCCATGATGCTAATGTCATTCCTCAACCTTCTTATAGTTGTTTTATGTGTGTGTGTGTGTATAAATAAAATACAATTATATTATTATATATAATATATAAATATACATTTGCACATATGGGAGTGTTTCTATCAGAATGACTAGGTCAAAGGGTATATGCAATTTTCATTTTGACAGATTGTTCTTTATAGAAGTTTACACTCTACCCGCAGTATATGAGAATGCCTACAAGAGAATGCCTGTTTCCCCAAATGCTGATTCTGATTTTACCAAAGGGTAAAATCAAAATTTCATTTTGTTAAAAGAAAAGCAATCCATTGTGGATCTATTTTGCATTTATTAAGTTTTTCATATAAGAGATTAAGAGATATTTGTATGTTACCTTTCCTGTAGACTATTCATATTCTCTGTGCATCTTTCTGTTTCGGGTTTTGTTCTCTTACTTCTTGGGTCACCAGAGCTCTGTCCTTCTTGCTAGAGTGACATATTTAGAATGTCTTTTTTTTCTGTAAGAAACCAAGGGGGCTTAGGTAAGAAACAAAAACTACGTTTTTCAAAAGAGACACTCACTTCCAGCCCATCCCACGATGACTAGAAATGTTTCCAGAATGAGGGTATTTGCACCTCAGCACAGGCAAAGCCCTTTCGTGGAAATACGCTGAAGGCCCTCTGTGGATCCAGTTTCGCTTCCAAGTGGGTGATCCTCAAGCTTGGGCTTTACTGTAAAATGTTCTAGAGTCAGATTAGAATTGAACAGGCGAAACTGCTGAATGAGAGCAAAAAGTGAAGAGTGACCTGCTCCAACAGGGACTCAATAGGATGCAAATCGGTAGGCACGTAAGAAGACAAAACCATGGAGTATCTTTTGAAAACAAAATAATCTAGGGTACCCAAACACAGAAAGCAAGAGAGGGGGGCTCTGCATTTGAGGTCCACAGGGTGAAAACAAGAAGGGGGCATGAGGACTGTCCTTATCCCGGGTTGGGGGCCATTGGTGACATCGGGGTCTGTGTTGCCGGGCTGGCAGCACCAGGAAGCTTACCTGGGGAGGTTTTCTGAAACTCACCTGCGTCTCCTGGTGTTTCCTCCCCAGCTCATGTGTTCCTCGGTGCAGAAGGCCCTGTTTGAGGAGGAGGACCACGTCAAGAAGCTGCAGCAGAAGGTGGCCACCCTAGAGAAGCGGAACAAGCAGCTGCGGGACCGGGTGAAGAAGGTCAAGAGGTCCCTGCGGCAGGCGCGGAAGAATGGCCGCCACCTGGAGCTGCTGAACCAGAAGCTGAGCGAGAAGCTGGCGGCCGCGGCAGGCGCGCTCCCGCACATCAACGCGCTGGGCCGCGAGCCCGCGGGCGCCGCCTACCTGCGGGGGTAGCAGGGATGGAGCCTTGGCCTCACCTGGTACCCGCTGAGGCCTCTCACGGGGAGTGGAAAAGGACACTGGGTTTAGACGTGCACATAGCTCAAGAACTCTTGTAGATGATGGTGCATTTGGTAGCGTCTAGTTGGTTGACAGGGCAAGTCTCCTATCTCCTTGGCTGCCGGCCTCCTGCCCTTCCCTTGTCCCAGACCCAGTGCTCTGATGCCGGCAGCGCCATATGCTTGCCTGGGGCCTGTCCCTGGCTTCCAGGAGCAGCTTGGAAAAAGTGCACTTATTAGGGAAAGAACATTTTAGAATCTCTAGAGGTACAGAACTCAAGGGGTTCAGCCTCCATTTCCGAAGAAAGGGAGTGTGGTCCCAGCTCTCAGCAGCAGGACAACCACTGGTTTGAAGGAATGATAGGTCGTGGAGTCTTCTGGTGTCGTTAAGACTTACGGAGCTCATCACAAGTCAGGGAGTGGAGCTAGAGGTGGCAGGTAATTAAGTAAGCAGAATTATACCTGATTTCCAACCTCAGCTATCCAGAGTTACAGAGGTTTCCCATGGGCCACTTTAATCTAAAGGGGAATTGCCTTTATGGTCCTGTCCTGTTTGATGAAAGCACATTTCTAAGCTGGAGGAGCTCGAGCAGTATCTCAGCCCCTACTAAATTCTGACTTACTGTTTGCTCAGTGATTACTTCCAACTTCTCTGAATTCGAGGGGAGCTGACCCAATATGTTGTGCATTTCTGTTGTGCAAAGACACCTCCTTACCTACTGGGGTCTGGGGACCTTGCCTCGTTGCTCTGCTCCCAAAAGGGCTTGTTGAGGGCATTCCGATCTCGGCTTCTTTATGCAAATGCTTTGCACCCACCTGGACTGTCCAGACAGACCCTGGGAGTAGTGTTTGCACATCAGCCCGCTTCTCACTGCATTAGATCCTCTGTACAATCGCTTCACCTTCTTTGGGAAGAAACCTCTAGAGAGAGTATTGCAAGTAAAAGATATTCACAATACCTAACACTCGAGCCCTTCACTTAGCCACGTGTGATCGCGTCCCAGCTCTGTGACTAAGAAGTGCCCATCCCTTGGTTATCTTCTGATGGTTCTCCAAACCAACCCGTGTCCCTTCCCTGCTGTTGTAGGTAGAAGCTGCCCCTTTACCACCCCAGATTCAGGAGGGCCCGACAATGCCGTCCTCTCCATTGGAAATGGCAGTTAGGGTCAGATTTCCATCCCCTGCCTTTAGAAAAACCATGTCCTTCTTGCTCTTTGCTCTGGCAGCGCGCCTGGGGCATGAGCCTTGTGACACTTGGGTCTTGATGGTAGGCGATGGCCTCAGAGGAGAAGCCAACACCCTGGACTGCACAGCATGGGGACTTTTGCTCAAGGGGTCTTTACCGCTAAGCTTCTGCCAGCACTTTATCAGCTGTAATCTTCATGGTCTGGTACAATAGAAGGCGCGTCTTGTGGTTTATTCTTCCCAGGGACGTTTCATTACTGCAGTTTTGCTGCCACCCAAGGGAATGACAAGCCTAACGGTGATTTACAGCCAGCGTTTGTAGAACTGTGGAAGCTGGATCTCTTCGGATGTATTATGTTCTGCCTTTTCAATAAACGTGAGCCAGTAGTTCAGCCACAGCAGTAAAGCAATGCGTGTATCTTTTGGAGCAGGGGTCCTGCAGGATTTCCAGCTTTGGCCTGAAAAGGCCATTTAGATCCTCGGGGGGAAGCATCTGTGGGTCACACCTGAGGCATTTAGGAGACTGAGCTGAAGCCTCCTCTGCTTTCCCCGCTGGGATGAGGCTAACCGTGTCTCTCCCCGGGTTCCCATCTCTCAACACACCTGCAGACAAGCAGTGTTATCCTGACCTCACCTCACGAGGGACATGCAGCTTCATTAATCAATGTCTTCAAAAGTACATTAGGATCTGTGCCAACAGGAACTCCCAGGTCCCCATTATCTGCTACGTTGTCATCTTACGGCAGCCCTCGCCACCCACTCATTGTATTAGTAGGAATTGTTCATGCAAGAAAAACCCAAGAATTGCTCAGAACTTGACACACATTGGCCGACCTGTCGTAGCACTCTCTCTGAGCTGTGTACCATGGTTTAGTTCCACTCAGCGGTTCAAGGAGGCTAAATGACTTTGCCAAAGTCACATAATAAGCAAGAGGCTGACAGAATCTAGTATCTTTAAACTAGGGTCCCCAGGAGTTACAAACTGGTGGCATGTGGGCCACACCTCACGTGGGGATGAGGTTTCTGTGTTTGAATGTCAACCTTCACTGGGCTACAGTTCAGGCCGCTGTCTCTGCTACTATCGCACCCACCCCCATTTGGGTTTTTTTTTTTTTTTTTTTTTTAACACACATCACGCATTTGTGGTACCTGCCTGACAGCAGAAGTTAACAGGGATTCCTGCTTCTGTGGTGCAAATCCTCACCTTCCTTTGGGGAGAGAGAACGCAAAATCCAATCACAACAACTATGGATCAGCTGTTGGCTCAGCAACGCCCACATTCTATGATGGTTTAAAAAAAAAACAACTAAGTACCCAGAATGCTTTAGGCCCTCACACACACATCTCACTTAATATTCCTAATAATTTCATAAATAGTGATTCTGATCGCCATTTTCCAAGAGGAATCTGGGGCTTCAAGAGATTAACTTGCCCCGTGTACACAACTAGGACAGGTGGCCAGTCAAACCTCCAACCCTATCTTCTTTTCTCTTTGCACGAGCTCACCTGTAGAATGGGGATAATCACTCCTACTGTAAAGGCTGTGAGGAGGCCTGAAATTACTCATACAGATGCTTTGATAGCACGATACCTGACACCCCACACGTACTCAATAATATTACTCACAATAATCATCTATATTATAGTGATAAATACTCACCAGAAAGGCCCAATGCACGTCAGAAATAAAGAGTGTCTGGTGGGATTCCATGTAATTTTCTCGTCCAATTGCCATACAATATTCCAGCTCCTTTCCATTTTCCTTATTTCTGAACTACCTCCTTTTCTTTCACATTCAGTAGTTGGTTGTTCCTGCAAATTTACCAAGAAAATATAGTCCATCAGAAATGTGTTTGCTCACCTTCCTAGGGTCGAATTAACAAATGCACAACCTAGGGCTTCCCCGGTGGCGCAGTGGTTGAGAGTCTGCCTGCCGATGCAGGGGACATGGGTTCATGCCCTGGTCTGGGAAGACCCCACATGCCGTGGAGCGGCTGGGCCCGTGAGCCATGGCCGCTGAGCCTGCACGTCCAGAGCCTGTGCTCTGCAACGGGAGAGGCCACAGCAGTGAGAGGCCTGTGTACCGCAAAAAAAAAAAAAAAAAAAAAAAAAAAACACAACCTAAAGGTTGAGAATTGCATTTTACTCAGTGGACATACTCAGGACTTCAGCCCGGCAGGTGCCTCTCAGGTCGCTCTGAAGAGGTGAGCGAGGAGCCAGGGTACGCGGGAGCTTTTGCAGAAACAAAGCAAAACACAACCAGATAAAACACTGAAAGATGGTGGTTAAAGAAAAAAACAGACATTGCAAGTTAACAAATTTTCTACGTATGGGAAGATGCGAGAGTCTGGGCTTATTGAAGTCATTCCTTTGATATGCACCTTAACTAGCTAGGGCCAGTGTCCTGTTTTTCTCCATCCTGAATCCCCTCAGGGTGCACAGTCAGGGCCGCTGCAGTGGCTGCTAGCTTGATGGCCGCAACATCCTTTGTTTACTGATATGGCAGGGGACGTTCTTCATCCATACTAGCTTGTCACTCACACTGTCTAGTTTACCCCCCTTCTCTCCTCCCTTCCAACTCAAAGGAAGGCTCATCCCTCTGGGCCACATCCAGGGTCAAATCCCTGCCCTGTTATCCTGAGTTCATATCGCTCCTCTCAAAACCTGGCTCCACCAATGTTCCCTCTTTTATTATAAATCTTTTCTTCTTTGGGGAATCCTGCCCTTATCCTCCAGTCATGCTCAGATTTATCCATCCCAGGAAAAAACAAAACAGTTTAGAAAGTATTGAAGCTATGTTTAAAGATGGTGACACAGAAGGCTCCTGGACGCCCCCTCCTCCAACGGACACACCTAGTGAACAGCTACACACAGAGCAACTCCCTCTGAAAGAAACTCAAACTGGCTAAGGACCTCTTATACAATGAGGGACCAAGAAAACACCTATGTCTTTCCTATGTATGAGTAGGAAAGGCTGAGACATGCTGTTGCCATAAACCCCAGCCCTGGCACAGACTGTACAGTTTGTGGAAGGAAATCCCCGAATGCCAGCTTCTCCTTGAGGGGTGAAGGGCTTGCACCCCACATCTACAACCCCCAGGTTTTAAGACTCCTACCCGAGGGGTGGGCCTCCATACACCTAGCTCTGAAAGCCAATGGGGTTTGCGTCCATGAGATCCACAGACTATAGCAAAAGAAGAAGCAGTTGTTAAAGGGCACAAGCACTCACTTCAGCCATCACCTCTGGGTCAGTGCAGAGGGAGCAGAGAAAAAAGGCTCACCTCCCAGTCTTTCCCTGAATGGGGTCTACTTGGATACTTTAAAAGTTGCTGCCTGGGGGTCAGGCTTCTAATTGAGCCCATATCTAGGGTCTGACTGCCATCCTCCCCAAAGACCAGGGAAGCCAGTGGACACCACCCCTGTCCTCTCTCTCTGACCTGCTCCAAGTTGCCAGAATCTCCCTGAAAGAAACTTGTACACAAGTCTGCACCCCAGCCTTTGTGGCTGCTGGTAGCTGATGGGTCCCCAGATCACCTGGCTCTGACAGTCACCAGTGCTTCCATTTACAAGTCCCATAGGACTACAGAAAACAGAGGCAGTTTTAAACTGGCCATCCCCCCAGGGATCAGCATAGAAGGAACAAACAGAAATGCCCAGTCTCCCAGTCTTTCCCTGAAAGGGGTCTCTTTGCATACTTCAAAAGCTTCCGCCTGAGGGTCAGCCTTCTAATGTACTATGCACCTAGGGCCTGATTCCCTGATCCTCTCTGAAGACCAGGGAAGCCCGAAGACACCTCTTCCTCCCTCTTTTTCTAGCCTGCTCCAGGTTGCTAGTTATCTCCCTGGAAGGAACTTGTATACATATCTGTGCCCCAGCTTTTGTGGCTGCCACCTCAGGGGCAGGCACCCAAATTGCTTGGTTCTGATAGCAAACAGGACTTACATTCATGTAGCAAACAAAGAAGTTCTTAAAAGGCTCAAGAGCACACCCTGGCCACAAAGCTATACACCTGGGCCCAGTGCAGAGGGAGTAGGCAAAAACACCCAGCTCCCATTTTTTTCTGGAAGATGCCTATCTACATACTTTCCCAGCTGCTGCCTGAGGGCCCAGCTACCAACCAGCCTTCACGTAGGTGCTGTGATCATTTCCTTTGGAACCCTGTCAAGTTGGCACACCTTCAACTACTGGGAGGTACTAGGAACAAAAAAGGTGGCTTGGACAATCACAAAGGTTACAGGAGCATGAGCCAGCCTGATAGATAAGGTTCATCTCCTACACAAGACCACTCTAGCAAGACTGGGAGAGGAGACTGCTTTATCTAATGTGCAAAAACAAACAAAGAGTCAAGGAAAATGAAGAAACAGAAGAATATATTCCAAACTAGAGACCAAGATAAAACTCCAGACACAGATCTTAATAAAACAGAGGTTAGTAAGTTATCTAACAGACTTCAACTAACAGACATAAAGATGCTCAGTGTGGTCAGGAGCATCTTTGCTCCATCATCATTTGCATGAACAAAGTGAGAATTTCAACAAAGAGATAGAAAATATTAAAAAGTACCAATCAGATCACAAGGCTGAAGAGTATAATAAGTGAACTGAAAAATTCAATAGGGGGTTTCAACAGCAGACTAGATCAATCATAAAGATCCATAAACTTGAGATAAGGCAGTAGAATTCATCTAATCACAAGAGCAAAAGACAAAAGATTGAAGAGAACTTAAGGGATTTATGGGACACTATCAAACAGACCAATATACACATTTATAGGGGTGCCAGAAGAAGAGAAGGAGAAAGGGCAGAAAGCTAATTCAAAGAAATAATGGCTGAAACTTCCCTAACCTGGAGGAAGAAACAGGCATCCAGATCCAGGAAGCCCAGATTTTCAAAAAGGATGAATACAAAGAGACTCACGCTGAGACACATTATAATTAAACTGTCAAAAGATAAAGACAAGGAGAAAATCTTAAAAGCAGCAAGAGAAAGACAACTTGTTATATACAAGAGAACACACGCAAAATTATCAGATTATTTTAGCAGAAACTTTGCAGGCCAGAAGGGACTGGGATATGTATTCAAACTCCTGAAAGAAAAAAATCTACCAACCAAGAATAACCTACCCAGCAAAGTTGTCCTTCAGAATTGAAGGAGAACATATTATATATACAAAACCCTAAAGACTCCACCAGAAAAAGCTCTTAGAACTAATAAACAAATTTAGTAAAGTTGCAGGATACAAAATCTATATACACAAATCAGAACTGAAGGAGAGAGAGTTTTCCAGACAGGCAAAAACTGAAGGAGTTCAGCACCAATAGACTAACCCTACAAGAAATATTAAAAAGATTTCTTTAAGCTGGAATAAAAGGGCACTAATTAGTAACAGGAAACATATATAAAAGTATAAATCTTGCTGATAAAGATAAATATGTAGTCAAATTCAGAATAATCTAATGCTGCAATGGTGGTGGGTTAATCACTTATATAACTAGTATAAAGGTTAAAAGGCAAAATAGTAAAAATAACTATAACTTCAATAATTTGTTAATGGATACTAAAGATAAAAAGATGCAAATGTGACATCAAAAACATAAAATGTGCTGGGAGGGGAGAGTAAAAATGTAGAGTTTTAGAATCATTCAAACTTAAGTTGTCATCAGCTTAAAATAGACTGTTATAACTCTTAGATGTTTTATGTAAGCTTCATGGTAATCACAAAGCAAAACCATACAGAAAACACACAAAAGATAAAGAAATCTAAGCATACCACTCAGAAAAACCATCAAATCACAAGGGAAGAGAACAAGAAAAGAAAGGAACAGAGGAATTACAAAACATCCAGAAAACAATTAACAAAATTTCAATAAGTCCATATCTATTAATAACTACATTAAATGTAAGTGAACTAAATTCTCCAACAAAAAGATTGACAGTGGATGAATGGATTAAAAAACAAACAAACATAGCTTTTCCAAGGATGCAGCCTTTGAGAGGTAAGGCAGGGTTGAGACCATCGGCACTGAATATGCGACTGAAACTCTATATAAACTTTTAAGATTCTGGTGGGCAGGTGCAGAGAACTACTCATCTTAACAGCTGCAGGAGACAAGTCTCTTAATGTTCACAGGCCAGGAACATGCAAGAATCAAGAGCAAATGTATTTCCACCTGTGTGGCTGACAGGGTATTGGTGCTCTGGCCTGGTGTCAGGCCTGAGCCACTGAGGTGGGAGAGGCAAGGTTAGGACACTGGACCACCAGAGACCTCCCAGCCCCATGTAATATAAACCGTCGAGAGCTCCCCCAGAGATCTCCGTCTCAATGCTAACACCCAGCTCCACCCAACAGCCAGCAAGCTCCAGTGCTGGACATCACAGGCCAAACAACGAGTAAGACAGGAACACAACCCCACTCATTAGCAGAGAGACTGCCCAAAATCATATTAAGTTCACAAACACCTCAAAACACACCATCAGACGTGGCCCTGCCCACCAGAGAGACAAGATCCAGCCCCACCAACCAGAACATGGGCACCAGTGCCCTCAACCACTAAGCCTACACAAGCCACTGAACCAACCTCATCCACTGGGGACAGATACCTAAAACAAAAGGAACTACGAACCTGCAGCCTGCACAAAGGAGACCCCAAACACAGTAAGTTAAACAAAATGAGAAGATAGAGAAGTATGCAGCAGATGAAGGAGCAAGGTAAAAACCCACCAGACGAAACAAATGAAGAGGAAATAGGCAGTCTACCTGAAAAAGAATTCAGAGTAGTGATAGTAAAGATGATCTAAAATTTTGGAAACAGA